AAAGGAAGACATACAAATGGCCAATAAAATTCGTAGGGGAGACATTCAACCTCACTGGTACTCACTCATACAGATCAAAACAATTAGATGTCCTTTCCCCCACTGTCTGATGGACAGCAGTAGACGAGGGAAATGCTGGCAGGAGCAGGGACTGCTGTAACCTTGCCAAAGCACACATACCTGCCCTTTGATTCAGCCATCTAATGCTAGACATTTATCCAATAAAATAATCAGAATAAGTGGGGAAAGACTTTTGTTCAAACACCCATCCGTCATTACTAAGTGGTTAAATCTAGTGCATCAGTACAATCCAATGCAATACTTTGGAACTCTCAAAACATGATATGACAATGAATATGCTCCATGCTTTAGGGTACCAGATAGCATCTTCGGTGTGATCCTATTTCACAAAAGCATACATGTTTATGGTGTGTGCGTAAGCAAGCCCTGTATAGGAAAAAGTCTGAGGGACACAGTGTGAAGACAGTGTTGTCCCACTTGGGGCTTCAGACTCGTCATTCCTGACCAGAATTAATCTGACCATATTTCAGGTTACCTCATTTTCAGGTAGATGCCACTAGGCTGAGCAGGGCAAAGTGATTTATGTTACTTCCAGATCACAAGTTCCATAAAGTGCATTTGAACTTGGAGTCTCTTTGGATGACTGGTTTCAGTGCACAGGTGACAACTGGAGTCTCTAATTTTGGTTACCAGCTTTTAAGGAGTCCAAAACCCAGGTATAGTTTCTTGGGCCTGATCCACTTTATTAGCAACTTAACCCTTAGTTTAAGAAGCAGCTACAGCCCAGTGGGTGTGGCTCAGTGGTTGAAAGTCAACCCCTGAACCAGGAGGTCATGGTTTGATTCCTGGTTAGAGTACATGCCCCCTTTGCAGGCTCTATATCCACTCGGGGGTGTGCAGGAGGCAGCGGATCAGTGATTCTCTCTCATCATTGATGTTTCCATCTCTCTCCCTCTCCCTCTCTGAAATCAACAAAAACATTAAAAAAAAAAAAAAAAGCAGCTAAAAACAGGAATGTGGCTGGGGGAGGGAAATGGTAGCTGCCAGGGGTGGCCCACCCAGCTTCAAGCCCTGGGGGCCTCAGCTCATCAGGCAGGAACAGGAACTTCATTTTCAAAGCTCCATAAAACCTGAGCCTCCTCCCAGGCCTGCCTTTTCTAGGTTTCATGGCTCTCTGTGGGAATGAGAGCCTGTGTCATCAGAGCAGGGAACAGCAAGGAGCCACTAGGATGCTCCCACGGGAGTGGGGGTAGCTCGGAGTTCCACAGCAAAGCTAAGCTTGGGGTGGGCCTCCTGTGCCTTGTTTCTCCTGCCCTCATTTTGTTTGGGGGACCCCCCCTTCTTTTCACTGCAAACCAGATGGGGGTCCCAGGGGGGCCTGTGCACCCTGCAGGAGCAGTGGCTCAAGAGCTTCTTCCTGTTACTTGTTCCTTCAGATGCTGGGTCTTAACGGTCCCTCTGCGCCAATAAGCCCAGTGCCCATCTGCCTGGCTGGAGAGAACGCACTGGAGCTTGTCAAGTGTGGGTTGAAAGGATTTATTTTTTTAATTTAAGTATTCCATCTGCCTACACATTCTTACCCTGCTCTGCGAACTAAGCTTCGGGACCTCTGCGAGTTGCTTCATCACGCCCACCATGTCTTCCCTACTATAGGTTTTGGAGAGCACTCAAGGGGATGATGTAAGTGGAGCCAAGTGCCTGTGTAGTGGATGCTCTAGAACAGCGGTTCTCAACCTATGGGTCGCGACCCCTTTGGGGGTCGAACGACCCTTTCACAGGGGTCGCCTAAGACCATCGGAAAATACATATATAATTACACATTGTTTTTGTGATTAATCACTATGCTTTAGTTATGTTCAATTTGTAACAATGAAATTGGGGGTCACCACAACATGAGGAACTGTATTAAAGGGCCGCGGCATCAGGAAGGTTGAGAACCACTGCTCTAGAAGCACCACTAAGAGGGACCTTTGCGAAGGTCTGACCCTCACCAAGCACTTTGCGTAAATTATTAATCCTCACAGCAACAAGCCAAGTGAGGATCCTTTTTTTTCTTTCTTTTCATTCAGCAAATATTTATTGAACACCTACTATGTGCTAGATACTATCTTAGGCACTGGGAACATAGAAGTGAACTAAACAGAAAAAACCCCTGCTTCATACACAAATAAGTTACAAATATCATGAATTACCAACAGAAAGACATAACACGTGTTCATCAAAACACATGTAATAGTCCCAAACTTCAAACTACCCATGTCATCAGTGACATGATATATTCACCCAGTGAGATGCTTTACAGCAATGAAAACGAAAAGTCTATAATTACATATAACAATATGGATGAATCTTCCAGATATAATGTTGAGAGCAAGAGGCCATACTGTATGACCCATTTATATAAAGTGCAAAAATAGAGAAAAAGAACTAAGCTGTTAAATAAGTCAGGATAGCATTCTTAAGGTGAGTATTCTTTTTTTAAATATATTTTTATTGATTTCAGAGAGGAAGGGAGAGAGAGATAGAAACATCAATGAGAGAGAACCATTGACTGGCTGCCTCCTGTACATCCCTTACTGGGGGTCAAGCCCGCAACCCAGGCATGTGCCCTTCCCCTTACTGGTGGTCAAGCCCACAACCCAGGCATGTGCCCTTGACTGGAATCAAACCCGGGACCTTTCAGTCCGCAGGCCAAGGCTCTATCCACTGAGCCAAACCGGCTAGGGCAAGGTGTGTATTCTTAAGGTGGCCTTTTGTGGTGAGGGAATCAAGAGAAGTGGCTTGCCCACGTTCACACAGCAGGTTAGGTGGGCTTGAGACCCACCTGGGGCCAGAGCCTGTGCCCATCTACCAGGCCTCTGGCCCCGTTTGCCTTTTGCCCTCCTTAGTGTTCCATGGATTAAAATAAGATTCCTAGTCCTGGAGGTGGCCTCACAGATCAGCTAGGGAGTGACGTTCTTTTGGCACAAAGCAGGCTTCTGTGTCAATTCCTCAGACACAGTGTTTTATGGGGATTCCGGAAAGCTCAACAAATTATTAGGTTTCTCGTAATAATTTTCTTAAAGCTTTTTATGATCTTGTGGTATTGTACTTGGAATGTGTCAGCACCAAATTGCATTTTGTTTAAATTTTGTGCTGAGTTTGAGGACATTTCTTAGTTTAATCATGTATTAAGGAATTGAAATTGGTTGGTACAAGTGACAGTATGTGTGGCGATCTCTCCCTCTCTCAATAGGCCGAGTGGAGGCAGAGCAGGGTCGAGGTATTGGTAAATAACCACTATGCAGCCTTCAATCTTGTTAGATGCTGTTTTGCCAGCAGTTTGAATTAACTAGACACTTAAAGTGCTGAAGTGCTAACTTCCAGTTGTCCGATATGGAACCCCCCATTAGCATTTTGCTTACCTAACATGAGACTTTTCATAGTCCAGGCTCAGCTACCACCCGGTTCTGTTAGAGTCCTGGGAGGGACTTGCTGGTGGAGGTGTGGGGGAAATAAGGGAAGTGGTGTTTGGGGGGGGTTGTTTGTTTGTGTTTTGTTTTTTATTTTGGTGACCAAATCAGAGCATCCTGTGGCCTTGAGGGTGTGGAGAAGGGGTACCACAATTCAGGAACAAGCAGTAACTCTTTGGGAATGTATTGGAGAGGATGAGGGGGGGGGGCAATATGTGGACAGTGTAGAGAATTGTAGATCTAAAAAGTACCTGGGACAAAGCTGAGGCTCTAGACTCCTAACAGGGACCAGCCCTAGGAGGAGGAAGGAAGGAGTCATGAGGATGAGTCATGGATTAGGCTGGGTTTTGGTAAACTTTCGGAAGAGGCCCTGGAAGCAGACTTGAAGCCTCTGGACCAGGAATTCAGGGGTCCCAGGGACTTAGAGCATGATCTAGAGGGGAGCATGGTCTCCAGGGGGACGCATCCTGTTGGCCCCACAGACTCCTTGCCCAGCGGGAAGGGGCACAGCCAGAAGAGGGCCAGAGTGGGCCCTCCAAAGCATGGAGTCCAAGGCCCAGGTTGCTCCACCCGGAGCCTCTGGCAGTGAATGCACTGGGGGCAGAAACCTGGCGTGTCCTGATGAGCTTTGTGGCCTTGGCCAAGTTATTTCCCTATTCTGGACTTCATGGGTGATTTTTCACCCATTCCACCCCTAAAGATTCATGACATGGGGCCCTTCAACTTCATTGTCCCTCAGTGTTCTTGGGGGTACCAGTAGTGCCCAGGGCTATGCCCATCTTGGAGAGAAAGCCCAGAGCCTGCCTGTGGTCAGGAGGGAAGGCTGCCTGGGTGAGGGAGAGTTGGGTCTGCAGCCACCTCTCCCTCATGGGAGCAGTACTGCACCTGCAGGTGGCCTCACAGAGCAAGGTTCTGCGCTCCAAAGCCTCAGGACAGTGACTACCCACTTTCTGCCCGTGTCCCAGCTCTAAAATGGAACCAGCAATACCCTCCAAAAATAACCCTCACCCAGCACAGAGGTGGTTCCTGATAGGCCTGATATAATCAGGAAAGAGGGAAGAAAGGGCCTGGAGGTGGGGTCAAGAGACAACATCAAACAGATAAAGCTGTCCCTCAGGGGGCTGTCTTGGCCCAGGTGATACCCACCTGAGAGAGAGGGGAGGGTTTCCTGACCCCTTTCTGCTCTGATCTTGGAAATGCCATTGGACTTTCATGCCTGTTTCTTTTTTTTTTCTTTTTCTTTTTTTAAAAAAAAATATATTTTATTGATTTTACAGAGAGGAAGAGAGAGAGATAGAGAGTTAGAAACATCGATGAGAGAGAAACATAGATCAGCTGCCTCCTGCACACCCCCCACTGGGGATGTGCCTGCAACCAAGGTACATGCCCTTCACCGGAATCGAACCTGGGACCTTTCAGTCTGCAGGCCGAAGCTCTATCCACTGAGCCAAACCGGTTACGGCGCTCATGCCTGTTTCTTAAGCAAATTTGAAAGTTAATAAATATTTTGCATGTCAATAAAATGGCTGCTTCTCATTTGTTCACAGAGATGCTGCAGTTTGTCAGCAATCAAGTGGGAGAGTTTTCTGACTTGTTCTCGGAGCAGCTGTGTGGCTCCTTCCCCAGCGGCGGTGGAAGTGGAAGTGGCGGCGGAAGTGGCGGCAGCAGCAGCAGTAATGGCGGGGGCAGCGGTGGTGGAGCCGGGGAGCCCTCGATGCAGCGCTCCTTCAGCCAGGTCCCATTACCTTCCTTCTCTCCCTCAGCCACCTCCCCCCAGGCTGCAGCCCTGCAGGTCAAGGTTTCCCCCACCTCGGTTCCTAACCCGCCAAGGGCAACTCCCGTTCTTCAGCCCCGCCCCCAGCCCCAGCCCCAGCCTCAAGCTCAGCTGCAGCAGCAGACGGTAATGATCACCCCAACATTCAGCACTGCTCCCCAGACGAGGATCATCCAGCAGCCTCTGATATACCAGAATGCGGCTACCAGCTTCCAAGGTGATTCAGAAGTCGGATGTGGCAGTGACGGTGGTTGAAAAGTTTGTGTGTCAGTTTGCTGATACTTCCGAGGTAGATTGTAAATAGTTCTGTCTCAATGAGGTTTTGGTAACTGCCAGTCAGAACTGTGGTCCGGGAACAGTTCATACGCTGCCTCTTCAAGTGCCTTAATAGCTGTTGTGCCTGCCAGCAAGCAAGTAGACACAGGGCTGTCCTGGTAACTACAGATGGAGGCTTGAGTAAAATTAGTCTTGAAACTTACCCAGGCAACAGCCAGACCTTGGCACCTGTAGGCTGCGAACTCTTCATTCAGCAAACATCTCCTGAGCATCCATTGCAGAGAATATGACTTCAGCGGAGGTGCTGAGTCTCCGAGTAGCAGGCCCTCAGTGTGCTGAGTGAAGGAGTGACTTTCCCTGTTGTGCTGTGTCCCAGCGCCTTTTCCTCAGATACCCTGTGCCCTGTGGGGAGCCCCGGGGGATTAGTATGCTCTGACAGTTCTACAGTGGGCTTCAAGGGTTAGGGCAGAGTGGGAACATCCAGCTCAAGGGCTGTCTCAGGCCCGAGAAATCATTTGGTCTGGCCCTGCCAAGGCATTAGGGGTGAGTTAATTCAATGTTTGACCAAATGTAGCAGGCTAATTTTTAAGTTGATAATTGTGTATGGCCCTCCAATGATGCTAAAAATATCCAAATGGCCCTTGGCAGAAAAAAAGGTTCCCCATCCCTGGTTTAGGGGATGGGGGGAGGCATACAGGCAAAACACTGAGATAGTCATCCCAAAGTACACTTTCTGTTCAATCTGTTAACTCCCTTGCTGGGCACAGTCATTCGCTGATTAGCTTCCCTCGCCTCCACCCCAGCACCCAGAATAATAAAATAATTTGTACTCGTTCACTCAGAAATGGATGCAGCCCTTCTGGGATGTTCTTGTTATGAGAGCAGCTTGTAAATGGCTGTGCACGTCTTCTCAGCAGCAGGTGGGGAGTCGGGATCATTATGAGGCACTCCATCCTCGGTTATTGCTGCAGCTGCAGTGACAGAATGCATTCCTCGTCCATGTGACTTTTTTCTCCTCTTCTCTCAAGTCCTTCAGCCTCAAGTCCAAAGCCTAGTGACATCCTCCCAGGTGCAGCCGGTCACCATCCAGCAGCAGGTGCAGACAGTGCAGGCCCAGCGGGTGCTGACGCAGACGGCCAATGGCACGCTGCAGACCCTCGCCCCAGCCACGGTGCAGACAGTGGCTGCGCCCCAGGTGCAGCAGGTCCCGGTAGGTGGCTGACAAGGATTCAGGGAGGCACTGCTTGGGGCTGTTGGCTGGTCATTGGTTGAAGATGTGGTCTACATACTAAGAAGGTCCATCGGAGTGTGGGGAATAGCTCATAGGGTGGGTAGGGTTGCCTGGGCCCTATAAGACACCAGTGAGCTTGGCATAGAGACCTGGCTGAGATGGCATCTGAGGATGTACACTGGCACTCACATAGAGTCCGTAAATGCAGGTGTATTATTTATACAGATAATGGGCATAAAACGGGAAAAAATGTGCTAAAATGTTAAGTCATGTATCATAGTGGCACTGAATTTTCTTACTAGCAAAGTAATTTATCTTTAAAATTTTTTCTTGGTTTATCATTTCTGCTTCTCAGCCAGGTTCCTGGCTTTCCTGGGTATGTCCAAAACCAGACCTCTCTCCCCGCCACCACTCACCGAGCCGTGCCCGCTCTTCCCCTGCGAGGCCTCTGGCACTGCTCTCCTCTAAGCCTTTCCACCTTGACACTAAGGGCTCTCTTTCTCCTCCTTAACCCAGTAATCAAGCTGTATTCTCAGTTTCATGACAATTTTATTTTCTCTTTCTTTTCTGGAGGGTCTGTACAGTTAGAAGCTAATGCAAAATAGAGAAGTAATGCACCTCCCTCTTTCTTTTCTTCCTTCTCCATACAGGTCCTGGTACAGCCCCAGATCATCAAGACAGATTCCCTTGTTCTGACCACACTGAAGACAGATGGCAGCCCTGTCATGGCCACAGTCCAGAACCCAGCCCTCACCGCCCTCACCACCCCCATTCAGACAGCCGCCCTGCAAGTACCAGTAAGAGCCACCTCCACACCCCACACACCTCTTGCCCTCCCCCTTCTGCCTCCTTTCTGGGAGGTGTTAGCCTCTGTGTGAGTAGGTGCAGGAGCTTTATGACATGTCAGTCACTTTGCAAAGTCACCTCCTTAGTTGCTCGGAAACAGCAGAGGAGCCCCATTTCCTGGACAACAGCTCCGCTCAAGACCATTTGCCTCTCAGGTCCTGCTGAGTGAGGTTGGGCTTCTGAAGGACCCTAGACCCACTAGGCAGGGAGGGCTCCAAGGTGAGGGACATGGAAGGCATCCGTCCTTCAGTTGTAGGGTTTCAGCCACTTTGAGCATCTTAGTAAGAGAGTCTGACAGAGTAAAAGGTGGTCAGAATTTGAAAGCAAGCTTTATTCATAAAAGCCAAGAACTGGAAGCAACCCAAATGTCCATCCAAAAAGAACTATTGATACATATGAGTTCATGATTGAACCTCAGATGCTGTATGTTGAGCAAAAGATGCCTGTCAAGAAAGAGCTCGTGCTAATGACTCCACTTATGTGAAGTTCAGGAAGAGCAACACCACGCTGTTGCTCACAGGAGGAAGGGGCAGGCGTTACTGGGAAGAGGCATGAGGGAACTTTTAGGGCAGCGGTTCTCAACCTGTGGGTCGCGACCCCTTTGGGGTCGAATGACCCTTTCACAGGGGTCGCCTAAGACCATAGGAAAACATATGTATAATTATATATTGTTTTTGTGATTAATCACTATGCTTTAATTATGTTCAATTTGTAACAATGAAAATAGATTCTGCATATCAGATATTTACATGACGATTCATAGCAGTAGCAAAATTACAGTTATGAAGTAGAAATGAAAATAATTTTATAGTTTAGGGTCACCACAACATGAGGAACTGTATTAAAGGATCGCGGCATTAGGAAGGTTGAGAACCACTGTTTTAGGGGGTAGAAATGCTCTGTTTTGATCTGGGTTATCATACATAACAGTTGAAGCTGTACACTTAAAATGTGTGTTTCTTATTCTGTGCAAATTATTTCTTGGTAACTAATGAAGTTGAGCAGCCTTTTATTTGTGCATCGGTCGCTTGGATATTTGAGGCCATTTATTGGACAAAATAAAACTAAAATTAGTAAAAATAGAAACAGGAGAAAGCAGATTTGAGGGGGTAAACGGGGAGCCCCTATGATTGGCCTATTTATTTAATAAATTGGCTCTGATGAGAGTGTCAGTCCTACCCTTGAGCTTTTTGATAGCCAGATTGTATAAGGAAAGGCAGTAAGTTGCTTAACTGTCATGTGACAGGGGATGTGTCATATACTGGGAGAAGGTTTCCCCTGGGGCCAGAGCGATGTGCTGTATGTGAGCTCAGCTCAGGGATGGTTAATGGTTTGACAGCAAAGCAGAAATCATATGACTTGTTCCTGGACCCCCTAGATCCAAGGATAAGACACGTTTATCCACTTTGATCCTGTTGAAGTGTTTTTATGGACAGTGATTCTGAAAGAGGCATAGCTACTGAGGTACCATCGCTCCTCAGGCTGCTTGGGGCCTGACAACCCAGAAAGGGTCTTAGGCCACAGAAAGCATTGCCGGCTGATGGCACATGGACAAGCTACAGGTTTGTCTTGTGAGGGTGCTTTACTCAGACTAACCGAGGGGGAATTCTGCCCTGTGTCTGTGCCTATTCTAGACCCTGGTGGGCAGCAGTGGGACCATTCTGACCACAATGCCTGTGATGATGGGGCAAGAGAAAATGCCCATTAAGCAAGTACCCGGGGGAGTCAAGCAGCTTGAACCCCCCAAAGAAGGAGAAAGACGGACGACACACAACATCATTGAGAAGCGGTATCGCTCCTCCATCAATGACAAAATCATCGAGTTGAAGGACTTGGTCATGGGGACAGATGCCAAGGTAGGTGCCAAGCAAATGGTGTTTCGTGCCCTACCATCTCCCCTCTACATGTTGTTGCCTCGGAAATTTAGGAATCTACAGGCCCACGATGAGTGAATGCAAATTGGGTGCTTTCTTATGAAAGCATGTAGGGTTTTTAAGATGACAGAATGTTAATCAGCATAAGGGGACGGCCGGGGGTTGGTAAGCAGTGCTCTTCCTGGACCTTTGACTCTGCTCTGCAGTGATCGTGGGCCGCAGAGTCACAGGCAGAGAAGCGCCTGCCACTCACTGGGGGCCAGGCACACAACTGTGTACCTTGACATCAGCTGATGGCATTGCTGTCCTGTGTTTAATTGTGCTCAGGGCGGCTAGCAATATTTTTACCTGCTGGGGATGAGAGAAACTGGAATTGGGTCTGGGATCAACAGTAAATAGAAGAAATTGATTTTTTATATATTTCTAATGTTTCAATGAATGTATCTCTGGCACATAGACTTATTTGTTTATCTTCACCTCTATTTTTTAAAGAAAATTTGAGCCCTAGCCGGTTTGGCTCAGTGAATAGAGCGTCGGCCTGCGGACTGAAGAGTTCCAGGTTCGATCCTGGTCAAGGGCACATGCCCAGGTCCAGGTTGCAGGCTCAATCCCCAGTGGGGTGTGTGCAAGAGGAAGCCGATCAATGATTCTCTCTCATCATTGATGTTTCTATCTCTCCCTCCCTCTTCTTTCCTCTCTGAAATCAATAAAAATATATTTTTTTTAAAAAATTGACTTTCCTTTGTAGCCTACAAATCTGAAAGGTACCTAATATACCTTTACTTAAAATAACCATCCAACAGTGTTCTGGTTTTTTGTCATTTGTTTTCTTTTAAGTTTTTTTGATGCTGGTATTATTATAGGAAGTTGTCATACAGCTAAATGTATTTATCGAGTGTCTATGTGCCAGGCTGGGAGCTAAGCTCTTTCTGTGTATTATCTCATTTAGCCCTCACTGCAAGCCTATGATTTATATAATTATCATTATCCCCTTTATAAGGGGGGGAAAGTGCACCTTGTCCTGATAGCAGAGAGCTAATCAGTGTGGGAGCCAGCATCTGAACTCAGCCCCTCCCGCTCCAGAGCCGTGCTGTCACTCCACCAGCTCGGGGCCTCTGCCCTCCTCACTGTGCAGCCTGCGCTATGCCACTGTTTTCACCCGTCCCCTTCTAGATGCACAAGTCTGGCGTTTTGAGGAAGGCCATCGACTACATCAAATACTTGCAGCAAGTCAATCACAAACTGCGCCAGGAGAACATGGTGCTGAAGCTGGCGAGTCAGAAGAACAGTGAGTGCTCATTGAGAGAACGGCTGTCAGGCGAGGTTGCAGGAGAAGTCCTGTGCCAGGCACCCGGGAGGGCCCGTTGATGCGGAAGAGGTGCCTCCGGGGGTGGAGCAGGAGTGGGGCCATCCCCTCATCTAGCCCAGCCCAGCCCCCTGCCCAGCCCAGGTGGGACTCTATAGAAACAGCCCGTTTGCCAGGTCGGGTTTTCTTTGCAGAGCTCCTGAAGGGCATTGACCTAGGCAGCCTCGTGGACAGTGATGTGGACCTGAAGATGGATGACTTCAATCAGAATGTGCTCCTGATGTCCCCTCCGGCCTCTGACTCGGGGTCCCAGGCCGGCTTCTCCCCCTACTCCATCGACTCTGAGCCCGGAAGCCCTCTGTTAGATGAGGCAAAGGTATGAGCTTTCGAAATCTTCCAACCTCTGGATCTCTCCCATCTCTCCAAAGTTAATAGTGGGTGGGGAGTGGGGGGACACAGACTGGTACCTGGGCTGGGAAGGAGCGGGAATTCAATGAAATTAGCCAGCTTTTGGAGAATAAAGAAAGAGAAAACTGACACGCAGGGTGGGGGGACGACACAGTCGGGGTCTTTAAGTGGTTCGGTGTAGTCTGCTTGAACGGGTCTTTGCTGAAACGGCCCATCAGAGAGGAATGAGGGCCAGATCCAGAGCGGAAACAGCAGCTGTCATGCGGGTGCGAGGCATTGCTAGAGGCGCCTCATTACTTCCCCTGCCGTAATGGGCCTGGCAAGACCACTTTGTGAGGTTCATCAGCTGGTTTAGGATGAGGCTGCCTCTGGGCCCTCTTCCAGAAATGATTACAGTTGTTGCAGTCTAACAAATAACTTCAAACCAGGGCCCTTTCATAGACCAAGAAAGCCCCCAGCAACTGCTGTTTAATGGGATTGGTTAAAAGAAGCTCGAGCCCAGTGGTCTTCCTGGGAACCCGTGGCAGCCACTGGGTCTGCACTGTGTGCTGACATTGGCGCTTTCTGACTCTGAAAACACAAAGTTCCCTGCCAAGATCCTTTTCAAACTTTGCATAGTATCATATACTTCATTTTATTAAGGAAGCTCTATTTTTTAAATGTTTTATAAATGTGATTCTGTTTGATAACAAAAGGCCATATGATGTATACATGAAATTAGTTAGGTATCTCAACATAAGAAATTTTCAAATGACTTTAAAATATTGAAATGAGTGGCGTGGTACATGCACATTGGGAGTTGAGAGATTCGACCCCAGCCTCCCTCCCTTTCTGGGGGTGCCAGGTGGGCCAGGCCTCTGCCTCCAGTTCTCCCTCTGTAAAGTGAGGAGGGGAAAAAGGCAACGTTGTGGTTTCAAAATAGGCTCCTGTACCTAGATCCATGCTGAAGTATGATCTGTAACCAACGCTATTGCAGTATAACTTATGTGTGATAAAGTGCACCTATTTCACAGTATTGCACGATATTCCCAGATATATACACTATGGCACCATAATCAAGATGCAGAACATTTTCATCACCCACGAAGCTCTCTGTACAGGTAGTTCACACCCCTCTCCAGCTCGGGCGGCTCCGAGCTCTGCCATTTGACTAGTCTTGCCTGCTGTGGACCCACACAGGAACCGTCGTGCGGTGCTCTGTTGAGAGACCTCTTTTTGAAAAGCACAGCTCGTCTGCCTTTTGTCTTCAGAACATGCTGTTTCGCAGGTGGCAAGAGGGCAAGTGCTGGGGTTGAGCGGCAGCTTCCTCCTGGCTTTACTCCTGTCCTGCTCAGTGGTCTTGAATGTAAATCTCACAACCTGATTCTGATCCACATAAAAGTAAAATGCTGTGAAAACCCAGGCAGCACTCATTCACTCTAACCTCGTGGCCCTGTGTTGAAGGTCAAAGATGAGCCGGACTCTCCTCCCATGGCGCTGGGCATGGTGGACCGCTCTCGAATCCTGCTGTGTTTCCTCACTTTCCTGTGCCTGTCCTTTAACCCCCTGACCACCCTGCTGCGGTGGGGAGGGGCCCACGACTCTGACCTGCACCCATCCTCGGGCTCTGGCCGCAGCGTACTGTCACTGGAGTCAGGTGGGTGGAGGCCCCCTTGTGCCACCGCATGAGTGGGCTGTGGTGGGGCAGACTGCTCAGCCTGCTCACCAGGCCCCAGAGGCCTTGGCAGTGATCCTCAGCTGCTCGCTTCTGGTAGGGCTGGCATAAGTCGCAATTTGCAAATAACAGCAAACCTGAGTTCAGTCAGAAAGAGCAGAATAAACTGGGAACCCACACTGCTATAATTCCCCAGGCACAGGATTGGGGGGAGGCCTATTAAAAATATATATTTTTATTGATTTCAGATAGGAAGGGAGAGAGATAGAAACATCAATGATGAGAGAGAATCGTCGATCAGCTGCCTCCTGCACGTCCCCTACTGGGGATCAAGCCCACAACTCAGGCATGCGTGGGAAGTCGAACCATGACCTCCTGGTTCATAGGTCAATGCTCAACCATGGAGCCACACTGGCCGCACCAGGGGAGGCGAGGTAGGGGGGCTACTTGAACAAGGATGTGGTGTTTTTCCTAAGTCATGAAACCAGTGGCCTAACCCCCTTGGCTAACAAAGATTTTTGTGGCGCTCAACTCCTTAGTGACAGGGATTACAAGGTTGCTATTTAGGCTCTAGAATTGTCTCACATTTTCCTGTCATGTGGAGTATTGCTATCTAAGCACTGAGACACTGTTAATAATGAAGTGGTATTGTTAGCTGCCCAAAGACAATGCCAGGGGCCAGGCAGGCGCCCTGCAGCCCAGGGCTGCTCCAGGGCCTTCCTCGCAGGCTGACTGAGGCGCTGCTCTCTAGGTTCTGGGGGCTGGTTCGACTGGATGATGCCAACGCTCCTCTTGTGGCTGGTCAATGGAGTGATTGTCCTGAGCGTCTTTGTGAAGCTGCTGGTCCATGGGGAGCCAGTGATCCGGCCACATTCGCGCTCCTCCGTCACCTTCTGGAGGCACCGGAAGCAGGCAGACCTGGACCTGGCCAGGGTGAGTTCCGCCCTTCACCTTTCCCTTCCCCCCGGGCTGAGCCAGTAACTTAGCAATTTGTATGAATACCCCAGTGAACACGTCCTGTGGTAGGTGCTTGCAGGGGAAGGTGGCCGGGGTGTTGAGAGGGCGAAGGGACCCCGCCCCTGACTGTCACGGCAGTGGAGCAGAGGCACATATGCATAAATAATTCCACGGACACGAGATGACAGGAAGACTAAAGTGCTGTGGGAGTTTGGGGCAGAGGCATCTGGCTGAGGAATCTGGGGCTTGAGCAGAGCGGTCAAGCGCAGGAAGGACCGGCTAACCAGAGAGGAAGGCGTGCCTCCATGGGACATTTGGGGACCGGCAAGTAGATGGGTGTACCTGGAGCGTAGGGAATGTCAGGAGAGAAGCTGAGGCTGGGGGTGTCGCTAGGGCCCACAGAGGGGAGGTCTTCGACTAGTAACCGTTTGGGGCTTTTTTCCCAGTTCTGTGGAGAACCAGGAAGATTTCTAGCAGGAAAATTAGCTGAAAGTTTTGTTTTGAAATCAGCAAAAGAGAGTTCATAGGTAGGATTCTGGGGAACTCAGCCCTGAGGGAAGAGTTAAACATCCCTGTCTTGGGAAGCCCAGGAACCAGAGCACCCTCGGCAGCAGAAAACCTCGTCCTGTGCCTCCCTGGCTCCCAGGACGCAGGTGTGGTGCCGTGGGCCCACCCCCTGAAGTAGGGCTCTTCCTGGAGAACAGAACCCAGGACGTGTGTCATGGAGGCAGGTTCTGTCTGTGCGTAGAATGCGACTGGCGGCTGGGTGAAGGGTGGATTAGAGGAGGGCGACACATGCACAGGAGCAGGTAGGGAGAGTGGCAAGGACCTGAAGTGAAAGGAGAGGCATGTCGAGGAATTTGACATGTAACATGGAAAGGAAGTGACAGTGACATTGACTCAAAGATGGGGCTCCAAGCCGCGGTGTTGGGAAGTGCCGTGAGAGGGCCCTGTGGCCACGGGGCTGAGGCCTGTCGGACAGAGTGTGTCGGAAGCTCTGCACCTGCTGGGAGGGTGCCTGCGAGAGTGGGAAGAACCAAAGTCTGAGCCTTGAGAACAGCCAACTTTCCTGGGGAAGTCAGGGAAGAGGAGCCATGGGCACAAGGAAAGGTGCCTCCTTTGGAATCTGTAAATGCAGGTGCTTCTCCTGGCTGGAAAGATGCCACCGCCACCTTAGAGATGGTCACTCTCGGAGCACCGTCACCCACTTTCCCTGTGATAGCTCTGGTCCTGTAGTGAGGCAGGAAGACAAGCATGGGTTTCCTCCTCACTGCATGATGTGGGAAAGGACAGGAGAGGTTACCTCCGTTTCCCAAGACGGGAGCCTGAGTCTTCGAACGCCAGTAACAAGAGAAACAGAGTGAGAAAGCAGGCTTCAGTTCCGGACCATAGACGCTCTGAGGTGGGCAGAGTAGTTCATCCACATCCTTCGTTAGAGTGGTTCAGCCGGGGATTTGCCAAAACCGTAGTTCTCAACCGTTAGCAGGCCCGCCCTCCGAGGTTCTGGTTCAGTAGGTCCGGGAGGGTGGGAGTAGGACAGCCAGAATTTGCCTTTCTAACAAGGTCCCAGGGGCTGATGCTGCTGGTCTCCAGGGACCACACTTTGAGAACCTAAAAGATCACATGAGTCATCATCTAAACCCATGTTGTCATCTTATGTATAAAAGTACTGTGGGAAACACTGAAGATTATTTGCTCAAAGATAGAACACAGTTCAATCTCAATTTAGTAAAAATATCAGTAGTCATTCTTTCTATGGGATAAGATTACAAATGATTTCCCTTTTTTCTGATTTTTTAGCTTTCTGAATTTTTCCAGATTTTTTTCAATGAGCATGTATCACTCTGATAACCTGGAGAATGAAAGGAGAGCGAAAAATGTTATTAAAACCAAAAGACCACAGTAAGACCTGTGAACGTTAACCCTTCTTGCTGCTTTCTAGGGGGATTTTGCGGCGGCTGCTGCCAACCTACAAACCTGCCTGTCGGTGTTGGGCCGGGCGCTGCCCACCTCCCGCCTGGACCTGGCCTGCAGCCTCTCCTGGAACGTGATCCGCTACAGCCTGCAGAAGCTGCGCCTGGTGCGCTGGCTGCTCAAGAAGGTCTTCCAGTGCCGGCGCGCCA